GTGAGAGTAGGTCCAGTTCCTGAGGACCTATCGACAGGATTCTGCTGGGTAGGTCCCTGCTGTGGCACGTGTTGTGTGGGTTTATCTACCGTTTTCGATGGTAGCGAAAGACCCGTGACGGGAAACTGAGTAGGTACAGGATTTATATCAGTTGTAGAGTGGGGATGAATACGGGCCGCTTGTCCATGATTTAGGGGCACGGTGTTTGCAGCAGGTGCGGGCTTTTCTGGACTGGAAACTGGGCTGATATGGGCGTGTGTCTCGGCATTGGAGTTTGATGCCTGAGACATGGGTATGATGAGGTTTGAAGGAGCATACGAAGCAGCCGTTTGAGTCAAGGTTACTGGCTGTCTCGATATCCGTACGTCTTGAATATGTACTGCGGTTTGTAGTGGTTGGCTCGTTGCACCAGAGCGCGGCCAATTCGAGTTAACAATTCTATTTAAGAGATGAACGGACTCAACGCCGTGAATACTAAAGGATCCATTGGAGCTTACCTTGAATCGGATTGCATTGGTATATTGGATATCCCAGGTTGGGTTGTGGCCGGTTGTGCCACGTTTGATGATGGCTGCATGACGAATTGATATCTTGGTTGTTGAGAAGTATTAACCTGATTTACAGGTTGTTGAGTCTTCGAGCTGCTCTGGGTTGGTTGTCTGACCGGTTGCGAAACTCTTGAGGTGGAGGGTTGAGCAGCTGGTGCAGGGACGACATTACGACCCGCCGTGCCGTTTGGTATGCCATTGGAAGCAATCATAGATTGTAATTCCTGCAGATATGCCTGATGTCTCGACATGTCTTGTTGATTAAATCGAACATAGGCCACAGGCTGGGAAGCTGGGGGAGCACTTGCATATGCTGGGACCGACGTTGATGCTCGGGTCTGCTGATGGGTTGTTTGATGACTCGGTATTTCGGACATAAATATTTGTGGTTGGGCCATCCCATCTCTGAGGGGAGCTTGTCGTCTATTAGACTGTTGAGCCAATTCCCTTGCAAGGGCCTCGCGTCGAGTTGCATTCATTGCCTCTAATGCACGCAATTGATCCGCTGTATACTGTTGATAGGACGTTGTGGGTGTCGTTTGGTTATTTCTGCTGCCCGGTGCGGGCATATACTCCACTTGGCTCCCTTGGACGTTTCTGGGCAGGTTATTTTGAGGCGAACTGATAAATTATCAGTGTTATTCGATAGAATACACTAGTGTTCGTACTCGTGAACGAGCCGTTGGTCTACTAGCTGGTCATACTTGTCGAGTTCCTTTCGTAGATTCTTGAGTCGGGTCTTCAAAAACACGTGTTGATCAGGGTTTAATGCTAAAGTTTCACCAAATTAGCACGAATTAGCATGTTGTATATGGTTTCTGATGGAAGGGTTGAGTTTACCTCCAGGTTGACTCGCATAATGCAGAGCCAAGGCGTTCTCATACGCCTCCTTATCAAGAAGAGGTAAAGAAGGTTGACCGACTTGGTTTGGAGGTGCCTCCAACTCCAGGCGTGCAGGTTGTTGGGGCCCAAGTGGGAGCTGTTGAGTTTGTTGACGAGGGATCAAAGTCGGGACCCCATTGCGTAAAACTACAGTCCATGCATTTGGGTCGATATTTACGGGAATATCCTGTGAGCCCGATGCAGAGCTCATTCACCGCGCCAGGTCCAAGTGACACCAGTGGCTTTTCGCGGTTGAACCTCGACCATTGACAATCCCAATTTGGACTCTATGCACTCAAGAAGCGTTTCGGGGAATAAAAACTTGTACAATTCATCTGAAATGAAATACAAAACAACACGATTGCGATCCCTATGCAGACATGACTCTAATATTCAATATAGCGATGCACATAGCGGCGCGTGTGTGTTGGCATAGCGGGTTGATAGTATGTTGTGGTGCGCCTGATTTTCTGGACTTGAGAACTCCTACAAAAGAACAACCGTTAGGAACGTTATGGGAGACCGTTAACCATTCTTACCAAGCATTGTAGTGGACACCACCGTCAAGTTGGATCTCAAGGACCAAACGACCCTATGTAAAGATAAGAAACAGACCGCCTGAATTGGGCAAGCAGCGTACCAGTCT